TCTCTGATCACAATACTCGACCAGACTGTAATCTCTCATTTATAAAAAAGCAGTGGATGTAAGATTCGCTTTGAGTATCCGAACCACTTTAAAAATCATCTCCCATTTATTTACTTCATTTTCCATTCACGAGTAATTTCTAAGTCAGTTTAACACTTTACACGTGCGAATAGTTGGTGTCAAAAATCAACATCAACATGCATAAATGACAATCTCGCATGAAAGTGTTTAGTAGAATTACAGATCCAATTGAAACCTAGCCAAAGTTATAGATCCAATCAATTAAAATTACGAAAGTAATAATTCAAATTAGGATCATAATTATCACAAATACATGGCTACTTTATTTGATCAAATAGCCAAATCAACAATCATAAATCTATAATTTGGACAATATAGTATATCTGCTATGAGTATTTGCCTCAAAAACCCAAATCAATCAAATCATACTCATATAATCAATTAAAATCCTCTGGACTAACTGAAATCATGAGGAAAATTTTGTTAGGGTTTTAATTGATTGTGTGTTCCGACTTCCATACCACATTTTAGATATATTATGCACCATCCCCGCATCAAATTAAAACACCGAATTGGGTACCTCCTTATCGATAATCCAAATCTGAAGGAAAGCTGTCTACACACATGTTAAAATCAAGGGAAGGTCTTCCTAGCCTACTTCCAACAGTGTAGAATAACTTACAATGGGTCTATTTTAGGGCATCTCTAACCCAACGTTATTTTGGTGTAAAAACACCAAAATTTTTACACCAAAATAGCGTAACACTTACCTCCAACCCAGCACTATTTTTGCACCAATTTGGTGCTCAGCTACAGTGTCATACCAAACTTGGTGTAGCACTGTTCATGCACACCAATTTGGCGTGGCACTGTTTAAACAGTAAAAAATATATATTTTTTTTGTTATTTATATTTAAGTTAATTTGATTATAATTTATATTAATATTTATAATAATAAATTCATAATAATTATATAATTCAAAAAATGATGAAAAATTAAAAACAAAACTTTATTCAATGCAAATATTAAATTACAATAACTCAAAATAAAAATTAACATTAATTTAAAAACACTAAAATTAAAAGAAAATACAACATAAACTAAAATAACAATTTAGTATTCCGGTAGATTAGTTCCGGATCCTCTAAGATCATCAAAATATTAGAAAGAATTGGAGTTATTTTGAGATCCTTAACCTTATTGTTGAGCTCTTTTTTGCATAATTCTTTATTGTTCATTTTGAAAAAACTCATGTAGGCTTGGATTCGGTTATGGAATTCAAATCCTTAAATAAATTTTTTTCAAAGTAATTATTATTTAATAAAAAAGTTATTCCTAATATTTAATTAATATATACAAAAATAATGAGTGAAATAGATTAATTGTTGATTATTACAATAAAAGAAAAAGAAAAAGAATATTTTAAATAATATTCTTTCTTGTGTAATATTTGATACAATGAGTTAAAGATGTATTAGTGTTTCATACAAATGTGATGTGAAACTTATACGAATTTGGTGTAATGGGTTGGAGATAATCTTTTATATATATATATATATATATACACGAAAAAGAGCAGAGACGTACCTCATTTAATTGGGATTCTTATAGAACGCTCTACCTTTCTAATATAAACACTCTTTATTGGGTTCACCCATCACAGATCCCATAACTTGGCCGACACTTAATCACCACATCAAGTTTATATTAGGTTTAAAGCCCATCAGATCCACCAAGCTCCAATCCCATGTTATCATCACAATAATAAATTGAGCTTCCCTAGAATCTTTTGAGATTCTACCTGGCTTTATTAATTTAACTTTTATGTCCTCACTCTTTCCTCTTATTTAGTCCATATAATATATAATATAGGGTAATCTCATAGTCATCAGGAGTAATATATTAAATTTATGTACCAAATGATGTGATAAATTCTTGACCATCGATTGATATTAAATTATAATTAATCAACAGACAGGATTTTGTTACGTCATTCGGTACATTACTCCGGTGTCTCTATTATTTTCCTATAATATGTCACACAATCACTATTAACTGTGATTTTTAATTCTTCGACTTGACCTCATTGTCATTTTCTCTTTACTTACTTTTCTGTATTTCATTCCTCTACCTAATTAATTATTAAACAGACTGTCAATTTCCTCTACTAATATGAGATTTCATGTTACAATTTAAACCCATTTTTAATAGAAATAAAAATTAATAATTTATATAATTATAAACTAATGATCTACTTAATAATTATTATTATCTTTACCTGATTTTAATAAATTTTGAATGAATATATTATACTCTTTTCATAAATCTATCCTCCAACTAATGACAATGACATGACATAATTAAAAAAAAAAAATCAGATTATAATTCAATTTGGATTATTCTTTAAACTTTGACCATGACAATCTAATATTAAGAGTAAGCAAAATTGTTAACTATTTAATTTTTAAAGATCTTAATCATATAAAATATTACTTTAAAAGTGCATATAACTCAATTCATTTTTCCATTTGGCCCTTGCTTCTCCCCTTCCAATTCTATCACAAAATTCCATAAGACATCAATAACATCAATTGGTAAGAGAATAATTTGAATTGAAAGCAAATTAGATCAAGATTTACAATGTAAGTTTAAGGTTTTTTGCTTTCTTCACATCAAAAGGTTTTTCCATGTAAAAAATTTATTCACAGATTAAAAAATTTTAATTAAGAAAATTCAGGATAAATAAAAAGGCTTCTGAATATTTATTAAGATTAAAAAGATATATTAAAAGTATAAAATAAAGATTTTAATGAGATAAAGTATTTTTATAAAATCAAATCAAATAAAAAATGGGATTAATATAAAATAAATCAATAAATAGTAAAAATAATAAGATAGATGCTACAACATTTATCTTAGGTTTTAGGAAATATTTGAAATAAAGAATTTGATTAAACTTACAGATTGCAGTTAATAAAGAGTTTGAAAAGGGTGGGTTTTTCCGTTATTTCAAACAAATAAAATTAAAATAAAATAAGTCGACCAAATTTATAGCTTTAAAAAAGTAAGAGAAAAAAAATTAAAAAGAACTTAAGACGTCCTCTTCAAAAGAATTGAAGTACAATAGAAATTTAAAGGGCTAAAATGGTAAGTTACAGAAAGAAAAAAAAAAGTAATTTTATAAAATCAAATATAAATCAGAAATTACAAAATTTAGAACTGGAATATTTTCCAATTTTCTAAGATTTTATAAAATATAAAAATAATGAAAACTATTTTGTATAGAAAAGTCAACACATGCTTAAAGTAGGGGTATTTTCGTAAATTTGTGCTCTTTTTATTAATATAGATTTTTATGCCTAAATGCATGAATAATAATGTATTTACAAACAATGCTATTTTGAGAGGTTTTTATAATTTTATAAAATTTTTGTTAAAATTATTTGGACTTGGGCTTTTAAATCAATATTCGTTGCTTATTAAGATTAAATCCTAATTAAAAAAAGCTTTATTAGTAGACAGACACTCTTAACCCATCAAAAGTGTCTCATGAAACGACTTGGGCCCGCAATCTCTCGCAAAGGGTTAAGAGAACAAACATGTGTCAGAACCTTCATGTGTCTTGTTGTCTTGGAGTGGCCTTGGGTCTTTGTGGGCCTCCTAATATTTAAATTTAAAATATGAGGGTACGTTTGGTTTCATATTTCTATCTATATTCTCAATCTTATTCCTTAAATATTATTTGACACACTATTTAAGAAATATTACTATATTTTTTAATTACTTTTAAACCCTTTAAGTTTATTAATTTCATTAAATACACCCAAAAAAGTTTAAAAATTAATAAAAATACCCCCACTGACCCATACTTGCTAGATTCTAACAATCACTGTTGGTGGTAGCTGAAATCTGTCACAACGGCCTACACCACGACCAGAACTGGCCAGTAATTCATCGATCTGGCCTAGATCTAGCTGTCAGCGACAGCCATATCTTTGGTAGTATGGACTTTTGCGGTTGTCGACGGCCATATCTGGCAGTAGATCTAGCCTTTTCCGGCCAGATCCGTGGTGGATTTGGCCGAAAAGGTCATATCAACGTCATACTTGCCAGATCCGACTGGTGTATGTCGTTACGTAATTTTTCGGTCAGATTCCGACGGTGGTGGCCTGAATCTGGCATTGCAGGTGGTGGGGGTATTTTTGTCATTATAAAATTTTATATATTGGGGTATTTAGTTAAATTAGCAAACCTAGAGAGTTTTTTTATAATTTTTTAAATTTTATCTCATAATACTTTTTTATTTAACTATCCAATATTATTCTCAAAATCCTATTCAAAATAATAAAACAAACAGACTTAGATGTGAGAAAGGTGAGTTGTTAAATCTCACCGTACATCTAGGCCACCTAAGATAATATAATTAACACATATATCAGACGTGAATTAAACGATAGACCTATAACGTCAACGCAGACTTACAAAATGACGTTGACTATAAAGTTTGATAGAGTATAAACTTGTCAAATCAAATCCAATAATGGAGTTGTAACGTTACCAAGTAAACATGTTGGAGCATCTTCAAGGCATTATAGGGAAAGCCAAAATATAAAATCATTATTTGAAAATATTCATTGAATATAGTAATTAAGATAAAGCTTTTACGAATAAAAGAAAAATAGAATGAAACCTTTGCAAAGCTCTTTCAAAATTAGTTTGGAGGTGGGAGATTTGAATTTAACCATCTTGAATCTTGGATCGATCAAACAATCAAATGGCTATCCTTTGCTATGGAAGACCCATATACTATCTTCAATCTCATCCATACCATATACAATGTGGCCCATTGGTTTGAATGTAGATTCTAGTTGCCTTCTTACTTACCAATTAAAATCCAACAAATGTACTAACCTTATTGGCCCTTAGTTTAATTGAATAAACCCTCAGTCTGAAATTTCGGTTGCCCTGCTTATAAATATAGTTTTAGTTCTGTGAGTAAGTGCTCATCTTTGTCTTTGCTGTGAAATTAAAAATGGATACCAAAGTTCTATCTTCTGGAGTTCGCTACTCAAACTTGCCGGAAAGTTACATCAGACCGGAATCGGAGCGACCCCGACTATCGGAAGTTTCCGAATGCGAAAACGTTCCAATTATTGACTTGGGTTGTGAAGATAGAAGCTTCCTTGTTCAACAAATTGCTGAAGCTTGCAAGTGTTATGGCTTTTTCCAGGTTTTTAATTTCATACTATGTTTTATAATATCATTTTTATTATTATGAACAAATATATATATAAATCTTGATATATATGTAGGTTATCAATCATGGAGTGAGACTGGAAGCAGTTGATAAAATTTTAGAAGTAGTCCATGAATTCTTCAGGCTTCCAGTTGAAGAGAAGCTTAAGCTATATTCAGATGACCCATCAAAGACAATGAGACTTTCCACAAGTTTTAATGTGAACAAAGAGAAAGTACACAATTGGAGAGATTATCTAAGACTCCATTGTTATCCACTCCAAAAGTATGTACCTGAATGGCCTTCAAATCCCTCTTCTTTCAAGTAAGTCTTTCTTTCTCTTTCTTTCGCAATCAATTCAATTACATTTACATCTCTTGTTTCTGCTATCACGTGGCATGTTTATCAAACTAATTTAATATATATTATTTATCTTACCACGTTACAATAACTTCAATATTTATATTTTAAACAATTAATTAGAAATTACAAATAATTTAATTTCTGTTATTACTAAGTAAATCAAAATCATTTAAATACATTTTTTTCTTGGTGTATGAAACTTTTACAATAATTTTTTTTTTTCACAGAAAAGATTCTTGTCCTTTTCTTAGTACTATAAAAGGGTTAGATTCTTGATGGTACTATGTCTGAATAACTGAAAACTGTCTGTGTAGTATTTATATTATTTAATAATGATAAAAGATGGAAAGAATTTTTTTTTTATAAAAAATGATGTGACAGAAAATAAATTAAAGGGCAAATACAAAATACTCTAGGTCCTTTTGTTTTATTATTTTATACCCTATTCTCTGTTCTATTCCCAAAATACGTTTGTTTAATTATTTGGGAAATACTATTATATTTTTTTAATTACTTTTAGATATTTTAAGTTTATTAATTTAATTAAACACCTCTAGAAAAAAAGTTTAAAAATTAATAAAAATACCCTCATCCACCCATAGTTGCCAGATTTCAATGGTTGTCGGAATCTGTTAAAACGACATAGAAACGACTGGAACTAGTTGGTAATTCGCCGATCTGGTCAGAAAAGGCCAGATCTGACAGCCAAAGAAATGGTTGTTGTTGACTGACAACGACGGACATATCTTTGGTGGTCATTAACGGCCAAATTTGGCCTTTCGCGATCGTCGACGGCCAGATCTGGTCTTTTCCGGCTAGATCCGTGGTGGATTTGGCTGGAATAGGCCATATCGACACACGATCGGTCAGATCCGACCGGTCTATGTCGTAACGTCATTTTTCAGCCAGAATTTGATGGTGATGGCCGTAATCTGACATTGTGGGTGGGTGGGAGTGTTTTTGTCATTTTATAAAATTTGTATATATTGGGATGTTTAGTTAAATTAGCGAACCTAGGGGTTTTTTTTGTTAATTTTTAAATTTTTCCTCGTAATACTCACCCTATTCAACTACCTAATATTATTCCTAAAATTCTATCCAAAATAACAAACCAAATGGACCCTTGATTTTCTTAGTGGTTATGTTTTGTCTATATAATAAGCTTTTTAGCCTCTTGTTTATTCGAATTTATTTAGAATAATGCTATGCTTACTCACGAACTTACTAACTACTTTACTTACCTTTGTTAAAATTATATATGGTATCCGTACTATACATATGGTATATATACTATGCTTTATATTTATAACGGTTAGTAAGATGGTTAGTAAATTCGTGAGTAACCATAGCATTATTGATTTATTTGACTACAAAACTTGTTATTATGTGATGAATATAGGCTTAGCTATAGGTAAGAGACATGGCAAACTTCAAACTTTTTTTTTTTTTCTTTTATGGGGACTATACATAGTATTACGTGAGCAAGGTGACATCATACAAAAGGAATAGATTCTTAGTATTGCTTTTGCCTTTCTGGCCAATTTGGCGTCGTGGGGCATAAATTAAAGGTGCTATGGTCGCTCTATGGGGCATAAACACGAGGTAATCAATATTCTTTAAAGTCTTGGGTCGTCTTAACGTTTGGTCTCTTTCTATAAATCTTGCTAACTACCCCTGTAGTTTCTCAATTTTTTTAGCTCCCCTAGGTTTGAAAAATTACCAACTTTACTTTTTGTGTTAAAATAAATTATAAAACAGGTTAATTAGTAGTTTTGTCCCAAATTAAGAAATGAAATTATAATTAAAGTTATGGTTAGTGTTCAGATTAGATTTGAGGTTTGGATTAGGTTTAGGTTCTACCTAAGAGGCGATGAGAAAGGGAATTAGAATTAAAGTTAGGTTAAGATTTGATGTGAGGTTTGAATTTAGTTGGCGCTTATCTGGGGAAAAGAGAAAGTCGGTTGCTGAAGACAAAAACGAAATTAGAATTAAAGTTTGAGTTAGAAGTTAATTTCAGGTTTGGATTTGGGTTGGGACTTGGGGTGTATCAAAGGAAAAGAGTAAGCATGATATGAACCTAATAATTTTCCTATCCAAAGAATCGATACTCTAAGAAAAATCTAGGCATAATTCTAACATACCTAAAAAGTCTAGTAAATTTAAAAGTATTCCCAACCTAATTTATTGGAATTTTTTTTACATATTTAATACTAATAAAAAAAAAAAAACAAAAAACAAACTAAGGACTTAGCTTCTTACCAATAGAAGGATTTAGTAGGGCAGAGGGGAATAATTTTATTCCACCCCTAATAGCCAAGTCTTAAGTCAATTGTCTCTTGTATTTCTACAAGTCAATACAAGAGACAATTGACTTGTAGAAAATTTGATTGGTAGATAAAGAGATTGATTAGAGTATTAATTTGTACACGTGGTGGGACCCATAAGATATTCATCATTGATACGAGTGGGGTCCTTTATAGTAGAAAAATACCTTTTGGGTTGTCTTTTTTCCAAAATAATCAACGGTCATGATGCATTGATGGAGTAGAGTCTGAAATCAAAACCATTGTGTACTTCAGAAACAAAAACATAATGCTCCCACCATACATTGCATTTAATAAAAGGAACTTGGCCGGGTTCTGCACCACGTGACATCATCGCCTGAAAACGTGTTTACGTAAGCAGATTGAAGCGTGTACAATGGTCAATCACACCAAATTGCACGAAACTTTTTAAATTTAATAGCTTGCATGGTGCCACGTCTGCGTCATCCTAAAAATATGTCACTTTTAAGTTTTGTCGTAGTGTATGAGATATTTAATAATACTCTTTAAAAATAAAAAATATTTTTTATATAAATAAAAAATATCTTTATTTATTTTTAAATATAAAGAATAAAATTTTTATTTAAATCTAACAAACATTTTAAATTTTAAGAGAGAAAATATGTTTTTTTAAGAAAAAAACTTAATAGAAGAGATAAAACATAAATAAAATGTATAGAAATTTGTAATTTATTATTTAAAATTAGAATAGAGTGTGAAATTTGACTCTCTAAATATGAAGAGTGAAACTCACTCTTTAATTTATATTTAAAGAATAAAGAGTCGGTTAGACTCTTGTTTCTATAGATAAACTCTTTATAATTAAGAGTTTATGTCATATAAAGAGTCATTTGAAGATGTTTTAAAATTGTACGTACACTTAGCTTTCATTTTTTTTTTACTTTAAAATTTTATTTTATCTACTCTTTTGAAAGTCTAACCTCTTCCCTCATCCACACATGACCACCTTTCTTTCTTCTCTTTCTCTTTATTATTATTATTTTTTTTTTCACTCCTTTTTATTAGAGTAATACTATTCTTATAAAAAAAATTTTACAAAGATTTCCATACAAAATGAAGTGACAAAAAATGAATGAAAGAATGAAACAAAAATTTATTTTTTCATTCATTTTTTACCATCTCACTTTATATAAAAATCTTTATAAGATTTCTTTGTAAGTATAGTATTATTATTTTTAATATTATATTAAAAATTAAATTGATAATTTCTTCATTTCAATCATCACCTACAATGAATTTTTAATTAAACACTGCTTTTAGAATTTATTATATCAAATTATTTTTTTTACAATTTATTTTTAGAATTAATTAAATATAAGACTAATATTTATTTGAATTGACTTTCAATACCATATTCATTACATGTATTCATATCCCATCTAATTCCGAGTTAAACAAAGATAAATCGACAAATTTTGAGTAAATCCCTATGCTTGAGGAATTATGAAAGCACCTACTGCTTTTAGAAATAAGACCTTAGCCCTATTTTGTCCAATTTCATTAATTAAAATTTGTTAAAACGTGAAAAGACGATTTTTACCATTTACCAAACTAACATAAATACCCCCTAATCGCCCAACCAGCTTCTAGTGCCTATGTCGTCACCTGCAACGGCCTTGTGGCGCAGCTAGAGGCTATTGCCTCGTAGCACCCGCCTAGGTCGGATCTAGCCTTTGAAGGCAGTGTTGAGGCCAAATTTGGTTTTGGAGTTGGTAGAGGCAATAACCAACGCCTTTTTTCAATTACCCAAAAAAAAAAAAAAAAAACACCAACGCCTTTTTTTTTTTTTAATAATTAAATAGTTTATGAAAATGGTGAAAATAATTAAATAAGATTAGAAGTTATTCAGGCGCTAGAAAGTGCATGATCGGGTCTAGGAGAGTGGAAGAAGGGAATGAAAGGGATATAACTGTAAAAAAAATTGCGATTTGACGAACCACATTCAGGTCCCTTTGGTACGACTTATTCGAATAACTCTAATATAACTTTTGTGAAAAAGTTGTTAGTCGTCAGCTTAGGAAAATTTAAAACAACTTTTTAGTATTAATTTATCAAAACAGCTTTAATATACATGAATAAATCCAGTCAAATTTATAAAAAATAATAAGGATATTTTTTAAATTTTAATGCTTTGAATCTGTGTTTTAAAACCCAGACCGACCAGTTTAACCAGTCAAATTGTCAACCGACGCTTAAGTTGATCCGATTAGCGTCGAAAATCGGAATTGTAACTAACCCATTTTGACATACGGTTGGACTTGCGTTACTGTAACAAACCACTGGTCCAACCAGTTTTCTGCCAAAACCAAGTTAACTCAAATTCCCAAATTTCTATGAGTTTCAATAAGAGGAGAGGTGTTGTCGACCAGGAAAACACAACACACAATCAAAACAAGCACTAGGTAACCAGGAAGCCCAAACCAATAAAAAAATCAGTTGAAAATCCGATAAATCCCACACCAAAAAAATTCAAATTGCCACGGCTGGAGGTGGCTCTTAGTTGGCGTTCGGTGGGCAAACAAGAATCGATGTTAGGTGGTTTCGAAGGGTGGATCAAGGTGAGTCGAGAAGTGGTGTCAGTTGAGTTTTGGTCGCCAGAATCACCAGAATTTGGCCAAGAAACAACGAAACCCTAGCTTGTGATTGCCAGCATTTGGTGGGTGGAATGACTTGGGAACTTTAGGGGTTTTGTAGGGGAGTAGCTCATGAGTCTAAGAGGTTGTGGTGGTTGGGGTTGTTGTTGCTCAAAATGGCTGGAAACTAGCAAAGGACAATTGCTCGACACAGTTCTCATGGTCGGCAATCAACGAGTGATGAGAGGGGATAAAAGGTATGGTTTTGAAGAGGAGAGGGTGTGGGTGTGGGTTCCAACGGTGGTAATAAGGGTGATTTTGGGTGAGAAATATTCGGAAAAAGGAGAAAAGTTCGACATCGTAATCTGGCCAAACGAATAAGACATGAAGAGAAATAGGGGGAGAAAAAGAGAAGAGGAAAGAAAAAGAGAGAAAAAAAAAAGTATAGATGCTATAGGGGTGTGTTTGCTTTATTTCAAACCTATAGGGATAATGTGTAACTTTTAGGGATGTGCATGCTGGATTTCAAACGGCAGGGACTAATAAAATTTTTAGGGATGTGTTTGATGTACACCGGTTAGACAAGTCGGTCAACCCGAGAATTGACCCATTGATCAGGCTGATTAATGATCTGATCAGACTGGTTAATCCAAAAGCTGACCCCTTGACTGGGTTGAGCAATGGTGTGGTTTTTAAAACATTGATTTGAATAAGTTTAAAAAAGAGCTTTAAGGGATTTTGAGTTTCTCCCATGAAATAGCTTATTTTGAGTCCAATAAACACTGTGAAATGCAAAAAAAAAACCTAAATTTTTTTTTTTTTTTTTTTTTTTTTTNAGAAGAAGAAGTCATAAGAAACTTAAAACAACAGTTGGTTGACTGATATTAGCTCTACAAATTTCTCCAGGCTCAGAAATTAATGATGTCATAGCTCATGGGGTATTAACTCAGCCAACAATAACTATAACAGATTTAGCATCATTAGCTTCAGGAATCACTTTGGGTATTTCTTTTATTTGAGTGTGAGAATTAAAGAGGTCTAATTGAACTTAACGCTTAACAAAACAATAGTTTCATCTATTTTTAATATGGCTAGGAGCAACTGATAGACAGGATATCAACCACAGACCTATCTATGCATACTAGTTTCATCAGCAACTAGTTTCAACCTAAATGGCAAACAAAGAGTCAGATTTATAATACTTGACACAAGTTAACAAAGCTTCATCCCGATTACCAACCGCTTGGGGAAGAGATTCCGGGATTCCACACTCTTTTTTTTGTAATAAGAAACTCAAGAAAACTTATAAACATGTGGAAAAAATTACAAAGAGGTGAAAAAAGCTGTCGGCAGTGTATGTGTATGTGGTATGAGTCAAGACAGCGCCCCAAAATAAAAGATACAGGACATAAAATTAAAAATAAAAACAAAAAAAGGTCCTGAAATCTACAAAAACCCTACAACTTAATTCCTTTAATCACATCCCGGCAGCCTTGCAATAGTTCAGAATAAAGAAAAAAGGCACATCTTGTGATTTCTTACTTACATAAACATTAGAGAAAATCTAGACAAAACAAAAAACGATGGTGATAGGAAAATGCCAATA